CATTAAAACTAATAAAATTTAATAAAAAAAATAAATCTATCTTTATTATTTTACCATCAAAATAAATAAATAAAATAAAACTTATATAAAATTTAGATGAGAAATAACTTGAGGTTGGCTACACATGGCAGCATTATGTGGTGGAGCTTTTATAGAACATGAACCCAGAATGAATTATATCAATTCTTTGTGGAAAAGACCCTGAAGTCAATATTTCTTAGCTTCTCAAGAGATGCCAGTGCATTCAGAGCTGAGACCAAAGCAACTAAAGCTGAAAAACCAAACAAAACTACTCCCTGCCCTAGAGTAGTTCTGACCCAGCTTTCTGTCACTGTAAATCTTTATGAAAAGAAACAGCCCATCTTTCTCCTGCAGAGCAGTTTCTGGATTTGAACCATTGACCTATCAGTTAGCAATCATATAATGTGCTATGCCTCCAAAGCAACTAACCTACAATAAAGAAACTCAAAAAGGTTGGAGATGAAAGGTTGAGCAGAGATAAACCAAGCAAAGAAAAAGATAAACCAATTACAAAGAAAGCAAGGACTGTGTTATTTATACTAGATAAGGATGCGTTCACACACAAAGCTCTAGACCAGACTCTGGCACTCATTTACTAGTGTTGCAGTACAATTTGCCATAAATTCCAGAACATTGAAATGCTGGCTTGAACTGCATTTGACCTGCTTGTCATTACCTGTTCAGTTGACCTGTCCCTTTGCAAGAACTCCTGGATACAATCTCTGACCTATAGAATCATCATCGCTCTACTATGAACCTCCTAGAGCTCCACCAGACTTCCTGACTCTGAGAAAACTTTGAAAAGCAAACCTGGTCCAGCCTCCCGCAGCCCACTTCTCTTGCCTTTGAAAAGGTTAAGATCCCTGTGTGATACAAGGAGTTTGCAACTGACTCTTATCCTGAAGGTTGGTGGTTGGAACCCAGCCAGCAAGCAGCTCCTTGGAAGATAGGTCCACAATATGCTTTTGTAAAGATGGCAGCCAAGAAAACCTTATGGAGCGGTTCTGCTCTGTAACACACAGAGCCAGCACTGACTCAGTGACAGTAGGTTTGTGTTTCAGTTTGGGTTTGGGTTGGCAAGGGTGTGGACTCACCTGCTCCTCCCTGGAGTTGATGACGGCCAGGTAGGCGTTCTCCAGCCGGCAGTACTTGTCAGCCTCAGACCAGGTTGTTCCAGAGACAGAGAACCAGTAGCAGCTGCCATCATGCTCCAGCCAGTTAATAGGACAGCACTTGGTGCCTGAGAACGAGCGGCAGGGGCTGTGAGATCTGAGGGGAGGGCAGGGAGGGCAGACGCCAGGGCACTGGAGGCTTCTGGCCCCTACCGTTGCTGTGGAGGAATTCAAGCTGGCACTCCAGGATGCGCAGATCAGTTGGGAAGTGCTTCAGGTGGAGGATCAAGTTGTCATGATCTAGGACAGGCAGAGGGACAGTGACACAGGCAGAGACAGTGTGTGTGTGGAGAGAGAGAGAGAGAGAGAGTTCGCTAACCTGATTTTAGGTCCTGCTTGTATTTCTCAAGCTTCTCTTCCATATCAGTCACCCTGTCACTTGTGTTGCCGCCTGAAAGAGAGAAAAGCTCAATTGTTTCCCCTTGTTTCTTCTTCTGTAACATTCCTCCACCCTCACTGCTCCTGGGGTACCATCGCCAGCCACCATAACCTATTCCTGGAATGTTTCAAGAGCCACTTCCTGGCTTTCTGACTCTATCCACACTCCCTACATAGCCAAACTCATTTTTCCAAAATATAAATCTGATCAGCTCACTCCCCTACCTACAACTCACCATTGGACTCCCATTTTCTCAAAATAAAATCTTATCGCATTAACTTTCTTGCACAGCCTGGCCCTTGCACACCTCTCTAGTCTGTCACACACTCTACCAGTTACTAGCTTTGGCCATGCAGAAATTAACAGCTCATAACATGTTCAGTGGCTTTTTTAACCTCCTGATTGTCACGATTCTATTCTTTCCACCTGGCATTTAACTTCCATACTCTCCACCTACCCAAGGCTCATTGGCTCATGCATCCACCTAGCATCTCAGGCTGGATTCTCCACCACATTTTGCACCCCCGATATCCTGAACACCCCTCAGTTGCAAATCCCAGATTGATAACTCACACTGCTCCTACCAGAGCTATGTAGATGAACAAGTGCCTGGACCATGTCGTCCACCCTCAACCTGACTGCTCTAGGGATAGTGTCCACTCACCATGGAAGCTGATAGCCTGGACCTCCACCAGGGTTCTCGATGAAAAATTGTTGAAGCTTTCTTTCAGATCTTGAAGCTCATTTCTCAGTTGTGTGCCTTATCAGGAGACAGTGGGAATGGGTAAGGTGGAGGGGGCTGTGTCCTCATTTGGTGGAACAATGTCTATGCAACTGGACCCTCACCACCCCGATATTGCCTTCATAACTGTTGTTAGCTGCTATCTAGTTGCCCCCTAGCCTGTGGTAGACATATAGACCATGGAATGGGACTATTGTGTTCCATGGAGTTTGAGTAGATCACAAGGCCTTTCTTCCTAAGTCCATCTTAGTCCAGAAGCACCACTGAAACCTATTCAGCATCAAAGCAACACACAGGCCTCAACTGGTAGACAGGCGGTGGGCTGCACCTGAGATACATTGGATGTTTATCAAATCCCGAACTCACAGAGAGGTGAGAATTCTACCACTGAACCGTCCTGGCTCCTTCTTCCATCATCAGCCCCAACCTCTCCCCATCTCTTAGCCCCCATCACTGCCCTTAATGCTTCCCTTATTATCCTCTACGTTGCCCAGTTACATCTTGCCATTATTCTCCACAACGTAATTTCCCCACCACAGGCCTGACTGCCTTGGCCTCATCCCCTGCTACATTCTTATTGCTCCCCTCACTGCCTCTTCACTGCTCCCTGCACTGTCTCCACTGTACTACTCACTTTTGGATCCAATGACACAAATGACCACCAGCATCAGGACATTGAAGCTCAAGGAGAGCAGACTGAGGCGAGGCTGTGAGCAGAGACGCTGTAGAAATTGCTGGCAGGGAGATGGTCCTGCATAAAAAAAGAGGTATCTAATAGGAAATGTGCAAAATATAAATGAATAAATTTTTTTAAAAAAAGGAAAAAGAAGAATTGAAAGAAGGAAAAGATATCTAAAGGGCAGTGAAACATAATAGAAGCAGTCAGGGAGCAAAAGTCTAAAGAAGCATAGACCAGGCTAAAGGGAGGAGAATCGATGGGAGGAGGGCTGCTGGGAGATTCAGTGGGCTTGACCATCAGCATCCAGGATTTGTACACACATACATGCCCAGAAGCCCATGTGCACAATGTCACATACATGAACATACAAGCACATGCAGCCGCACAGGTTACGTGCATATGCACTTGAACTCACAATATCCACATACCCTGCATGCAGAGTTGCACTCTTGGAATTATGGGGCAGAGAGATAGAGAGCTGGCTGAGGGGCAGACTTGACCTTTATGTGTGGGAAGCTGAATATAAAATTTAATATTAATAATAAACCAAATGCTATATCAGGATATGAAGGAGGCATAATACAAGATAGAATTCACCCTGTGGCACTAAGGCATTCCTTAAGAGTCTACATAATTCTTAGTTTGTATTTACTGAATCCCTCCCTCCTGAGATAAACATAAGGTAAACAATAGAGAAGAACTTCGCCTTATTTGCAAAAGGTTTCCCCATGATTCTTTGTTTTTATTTTCTACTCCCTTGTGATTTTCCTTTGTTTACCTTCCTGATGATTCTCAATAAATGCACAGAGAGGCGTGGCCCCCTGTTTTTTATGCTCTCTGTTTTATCTCATTCCTGGTTGTCTCTCATTATTAATAATTATAAAAAATAATCTACAACCAGGAGAAGAGAAAATAGATGAATGGAACCTTCTAAGGAATCAAATCCCTATGCACATCCAAAAACTTCTCCAACAGAGTAAAAAGGGAAGGCACAGACTGGGGAAAAATATTTGGTAATGACATATCAGATAAGGGACTTATA